CCCCCACCCCCATCCCCCGCAGGCGAGTCCATGTACTTCCGCGTCAACGGCATCCCCATGTTCCTCAAGGGGGCCAACCTGATCCCCTTCCACACGGTGCGGACCCAGGTCACGCCCGAGCTCATGAACGGAGTGCTCAAGGCCGCCACTGACGGTGGGTGCTGAGCGGGACGGGCGGGTTTCAGCTGCTGAATCACCTGTGACCAGCGGAGGGGCCTTGCGAGGGGGGGTCTGTTTCTTGCAGCGGCGATGTGTGCGCCAGGGCGGCCGATGAATAGCAGCAGGGGCTCGATACTTGAGGGTCCTTCTTGGAGCCTGAGGCCCAGCCTCAGGCTGCATTGGGTTAGTGATCCTGACAGAGATGCCTGGCTGGCGCGGGCGGCTTGGCCTGATCTTTGCCTTTTCCAGTGTTAGTCATGCCTTGCCTCCCAACGGATTGCTGAATGTGTGGTCCTTGTCCCACGCCCCTGCCTTGCAGTCCATTTCAACGTGCTGCGCGTCTGGGGCGGCGGCATCTACCAGACTGACGCGTTCTACACCGCCTGCGACAGGCTGGGCCTGCTGGTCTGGCAGGAGGCCATGTTTGCGTGAGCTTCTGCCCTTGCTTCTGACGCACTCGTGTCACTAGCTGCTCGGTGCAGGGGACTCCCGAGCAGGCTGCGTGTTGTGGCAGCAAGGGGTGGTGCGGGGTTTTGAAGGACCAAGTTGCTGTGTGCAGCGGCTTGTGCTGGCGCTGCTTGTCGCATAATGCAGTGTGGCGCGGAGCTTGAAGCGTTGTGGCTCCCGACTCATTGCATCGCACACATGCAGATTGCGTGACCCTTGGGCAACCTTCACTCCCATCCCGCAGCCCCCTCATCCTTCCTGCCTTCCCCCTTCCCCCTTCCGCTCCTAGGTGTGCCATGTACCCTGCTGACACCGCCTTCCTTGCCGATGTCCGCGAGGTGAGCGCACAAGGGCAAGCGGCACAAAATGGAGATCCAAATCCATTTGATTGCTGGGTGCTGCTCGCCTGCGGCGTCAAGGGGACGGGACTGGCACGCCAAATCATTGAGTGGTGTGTTGATCTGGTCACAGAACCGCCACACTGCTGCCGCATAACATATAGTTGAATTGGGCATAGATGGCACTGCACTTTGAAGTGTTTGTCAACCCCAGCTGCCCCAACTGTGCACGCATTTTGAAATCTGCAGGAGATGCGGGAGCAGGTGCTGCGCATCGGCCACCATCCCTCCGTCGCCCTCTGGGGAGGCAACAACGAGAACGAGGCGGCGTTTGGCTGGTGCGTGACGGCCAGCTTGCTTAAGCATCCGGCAGCAATGCTTGCGTAGCGCCATGCCAACCGGTAATGTGCATGGCGGCGGCAACATAGGTTGCCAGATGGACTCCCTTCAGCTACACACAGGTGCATTGCTCTCATCACAACAGTTGCGACCTCGCTCCTCTGCGTTTGCGACGTCATTGGCACGCGTTTGTGCATCAATCAAGACCCTCCGGTTGAGGCATCCCGCAACCCCTGTCGTGCGCCCGGCTCATGCCACACCGCATCGCGGCGCTCCACCAAACCCTCTCCTCAGGTTCAGCGAGTCCCGTAACGACCGCGCCTTCTACCAGAAGGATTACGTGAAGCTCTACTTTGACACCGTCGGTGACGAGATTGTCAAGGTGAGTCATGGGTGACCCACGGGTGACGACCCCTAGAGTGGCGGCACCTGAGCTTGCCAACAGCAGACCCGCAAAGCAGACACCTGCACAACAGGTGGGACCATGGGTTCACACAAAATTGGCCCCTCAACACGCCTGCACAGATACTAACAGTTTGTACTGCCTCCTCATCTGCCGCACCCTCAAATCGCCCTGCAATCTCAGCTGGACCCCGAGCGCCCCTTCATCGACTCGTCCCCCGCGAATGGCCCCTTCTACCCGGGCGCCACCGCCGAGGGGAAGCTGCCCATGAGCCTCGACGAGGTCCTGCGCACCAAGCGCTGGGGCGACGCCGGAGGCTCCAAGTTCGGCGACAGTGAGTTGCGCATGCAGGGGTGTGCCTCTTCGGATCCTCGCGCGAGGCCCTTGTACCACAGATCGTGTCCAAAACTTCCTGGCTAGTGCTGCCGATCAACGTTGCATTCAATGTGCACGCACAAGCCCCAGATCATATCATCTTGGACAGAACCTTATTGCCTCAAAAATTGTTCGCACCCCACCAATCACGTCACGCAGTGCACTTTTACGAGAACTACAATGACTGCACAGCGCCGGGCGTGGTGCCTGTCGCGCGCATCATGTCTGAGTTTGGCTGGCAAAGCGATGCGCCCTTCTTCTCCATCAAGTCTGTGACGCCGGCCCAGGACTGGGACACTTGGTGCGCTGCCGCTGTGTTGAGTGTGTGCATGGTGTTCTCATTCACAACCACTGACAGGCGTACCTGCAGGACTGGCGAGGGCATTGCTACATTGTGTGCTGTCGTTATGTAGCGCAAGCAACCTTGCTACCCTTGTGGTCCGAGTTCACCATGACACCCTGCCCTGTTGCCTAGGCAAGCTGTGCCTGCATTACCCGACATCCTCCAACCCCGTGACCCCAATCACCATCGGCGACCCACAGGGCCGAGACTGCACAGTACCGCCAGCGCTGGCTCTCGGACGGCACCCGCCTGAAGGTCCTGCAGATGGGCAAGGTGTTCGGCGGCCTGCCCAGCCACAACTTCATGGCCAGCGAGCCCCAGCAGAAGGCTAAGCTGTACTCGGATTATATCTATCTGCGCCAGGTGTGCGGTCAGGGCGCTCGATCATGCACATGCAGGCATGCGCGCACGCGCACGCGCACGCGCACGCACACGCACACACACACACACACACACACGCACACGCACACACACACACACACACACACACGCGCGCGCGCACACACACAC